ACATTAATTTATGGCGTCCGCCATTTTTGGGTCCTAAGGGCTCCATTTAGCCTAAGATGGCTGAGCCAATCAGAGGCATACTCTCTCAATACTGGTACTCTAAGGGAGGGGGGTGGGGGCTACCTATCTGATCGTATGACAGGGTTATACTAAAAAGGCTCTTTTTAGGGGAGGTACAGGAGGGGACTCTGGACTGGTTTTGAGACTGGAAGGTCACAAACTTTGGCTCGCAGGGACCCTTACAGAAAGTGCAACGATTGTTGTCGATTCTCAGGGAAAAATATTGGTTCGGTATTCTCGAAACGTAAAGGGGTTCCCTAAATAATGGATTTTCAGACGGTTTATGGGAGCTTTTTTCTTGCAAAAAACGCTCATCTATTTATAAAGTAAGCATTTGTAGAAATCTTCAGAGGAGGGTTGACTAGAACTTTATGGAAAAGTTTTCGTTCAGATCCATTTGTACTTTTATGCATTATTTTATGACATGCTTTTTAAAGCTTTTAATTGATGTCAAATAATAAAGCGCAGTTATGACTTATTCACTCCGGATGTTGGTGCGTTCATTCTTTCTGGACGTCAGAACCATAAAATGATCTAAAAATGGCGCGCACCAACTTTTACTCACACTCGAATTGAAACTCGTATTTTCCTGTTATTTCAAGAGCAGATATCAATTTTATCGCGAGTAGGTTAAAAACAAGTTCAGTTCCTGAACTCAACCACCTAGTTACTTTTGGCTGAGAGCCATTTTTTTTTAAACGCGCCGCGCCCGAATGCCGAATAGGTTGTGACAAAAAATATAAACTTACGCTTCCACTCTTAAAATTTCATTATCATATTTTTTTAGCAAAAGGTGTCAGATCCACAGGAAACTCAAGCGATTTTCTAAATCTCTGCCTTTGGTCACCTTTCCTTCATATTTTCCTGTTGAAAAATAATGAATATTGATTGAAATCGAAAAATGGTATCTCCGACTGAAATGTTCCAAATTTTGACACATGAGTAATTTCTTTTGTTAAAAAGTAACAAGGGGCTGTTTCTCTGAAGATTTTTCAGGAAATGTTGTCATTCATTCACAATTATTTTTCAGGAAATTTCGAGGAAGTGCTTCGATAAGTGTTCTTTAAAATAAAAATAGTATACTGCAAAAAAAGTAGTTTTTTCGGCCAAGATTTTTCTATATTGATTCAAGCTGAATTTTTCTAGGAACATGAAGGTAATGGCTTTAGTTAAGCAGCAACATTCTTGATTTAAGAAAATATATTTTTTGGCGGCAAAAAGTTACCTTTCGCAAAATAATCCAGTATAGTTTTCTCAGTATAATAATCGGGAATTTCGGAACGTTACATTATTAGCATAGGACTTTAGACGTTGAATTACTCATTTATAGCAACCAAGCGCCCACAAATTCTTCACGTCATGAGTACATCGTCTACGCTATTTCGCGAGTAAAATCGTCGCCAGCGGCACATTTTTGCAACTTTCGACCGTCACCTAACGAAAGACGCAGATATCGGTTTTCGTCAGCCGGAGAGAAAACCTCATTAATTTACCGGTGTAAACTGGCGTTTTTTTGGTCTCCCTTGTTTACTTGCAGATACTTAACGAAGCACCGAGAACTGAGCTCCGGGGTTCAATTCTGCGACAGAGTCACTGCATTCACCGGAATGATCTAATTACTGGCTCGAAGCTTAATCACTGTATTTGGCGGAAGGAAATCGTGAACTGTTTGAGATCATCCTCACCAAGGCTCTGATTCATGTATATTGCCAGTTTTTCAAATCAAAATGACTTTAAAACTTATGCTGCCGGCGATCCTCCTTCAGTAAGTGCTTTATACGTTTTTGCCAAAAATTTCATGAAATGACAGATTTTTAGCAAAATTGGTAGATTATCGACACGTTGACAAATCGAACTCATTGATACAAAAGAAATGCTTCCTTGAAAGTATTTTTTTTCGCTGAAGAAAATACTTTTTGGATGAAGGGAGTGGCATGTTATGGGTGATTTCACGATAACAGGAATAGTTAAAATGTGAAATACCTTAGAAATAAAAGTGCACCAATTTTAACAGGAATTCATTACCTCATTTTAAAGGTATTAAACTTCCTTTTTCCAGCTTTGGCACGCTCTATAATGATTCAGTGCAAAGTTAAAGTGATAGATAAATAAGCCATTGAATCAGGTATCAGCGCTTCCCGCGGGACTGCTGGAGGTCCACGCAAACATGGCGGCCCTGCCAAATTGTGTCGGTTACGTAACAGACACAGCGTAACCGACACTCAAAAATGTAAGATTAAAGATGATACAAAAGATGAAACTTGGCAGTTCTTGAGTTATAACGTGGAATTAATGCTGCCTTAAAAGTTTTCTAAACTTTGGAGACTTTCTTTTAGTTAAATACTATTAAATTAAGGTTTTTGCGTAGTGAGGAATTCGTGCTACACACGTAAAAATCACTGGTTTTCATAATAATTAAAGTTTCCATTGTAAAAAAAAACTGACTTATCAGTAATGGTTTTGTCAAGAAGACTTCAGCGAACAATTTGATGGCAGTTTTGAAACTCCTGACTCCATCTGGCGAGATAAACACTGCACTTAATACAACTGCAAAAATGTGTTGCCAAATGTGGCGACACCTCTTTCTTATGACTTTTCTCGCTCAATAATAAACATTTCAGTTCAAACTGGCAATTTTCTTGAACACTAGAGTCTCTTTTCAGCAAATATTGCCAAAGAGTTCATGATCAGTACTGACATGCTACCGCAAATTGCTCTTTTGCTTCAAAATCGAGGTTGGCGACGCGTAACCGACCGGACATTTTCGGCCTTTAAAGTCTCATATTATTAAATATAATAATAATTCATCATATTTTTTAGCATGGATAGGTTCAGGGACATCATTCCTATTGATTAATTAATTTGGTTTTCAATTGTTTTGCCGTATGTCGTTCATAACCCACGGCGACACGACTATTCCTATTATCGTGAAATCACCCTTATGCCAATCAAGTAAAATTGTGCCTTTGGTATAAAAGGATAATTTTCGTAATGGAATCATTTTATTTTAATGCACGTTCACTGTGGAAAATGGTTGGAGAAAAAACTGCTAGAAAAAATTACACAAAAATTGGGTTAAGAACATGGGAGGTGAATTGCGACTTAACCCACGTCTTCGTTTGATTCTAGAGTTTCCTATATTTTCCACCATTTTTTTTGTGTTAAAATCACGGACTGTGCCAATATCAACTCAATATTGTGGCTATTGTGTTTCACTTTCTGTATTAACCGAAAATAACACAGGAAAACAAATATTTTTCTCAGTATAGACAGGGCCGGATTAAGGGGGTGGCGGTGGCCACATGGGCCGCGGCCCATGGCGGCAAATTTTGCAGTTTTCTTAAATATAGGTATAAAAAAATATCGGCTTTAGAAAAAAAATTACAAACTAGAAAAGGCGACAAAATCTCTCATTTCCTGAGAGTATAGTAATTTTTAATTTTGTCGTCTTTCAGTGATACAAGGGACAGCACCCTTAATTAGTCCAGTTAAGAGAGAAACCAAACACGCAATTTGGCCTGGAACGGCGCAGCGCAGAGAGCAATGATGACGAGGACTTGAAATGAAAAGGAGAAGCCCTCGGCGCGGCGATCGGCATGTAACACATATTAGCGCCTACAATACTGCACGAATACTTCACGCATTGCGCCAAACACGGTGCGGTCGGCGCGGCGCGACGGCGGAAGTTAAAATCATTAAACCAAATTTTGTGTTTGTTCTTTCATAATTTTTTCGTTCATTTCTTATGAATGGAGGGCCTTGTCCATTAGAGATAGGTTTACAAAACTTGACTTTCGCGCAAAGTTCCGTGACCTTTTGCGAGCAGTGTTGACAGGGCTTTCCGAAAAAAATGTGTTCAACACGAGTAAACGCATCTTATTTACCCCTACCCCGCTGGCACGTTCACTTGATGGTTTTTATTGATGCTTCAAAACGAATGAGAAGGGGCCGGCAAAATACAGGCGGCCCATGGGCGGCAAGTAGGAAAATCCGGCCCTGATTTGTATTATCTTTCTGATCCTTTTTTCTGTTTTGAATTCTAGTGATCTTAACATCAACATCATGTAAAACTGCTGAAGTGGCAACGACGGATAATTCTCTCAGCACACCACTGCAATACTCTCAACGCTTGGGGGGTGGATCAGCTGATTAGAAATAGTAAAACGGTTATTAGGTGTTTGTTATTGCTCTCGAGCTGGATGCAGTCATAATTTAAATGAGAAACGATACAATCTTGGAAATCATTGGCACTACAAGGCAAAAATCTGCATGTGTCTTCGAATGTTTTAATGTTTTAGAAGATGCATTACTGAAGCGTCCAAGTGTTTACCATTAACTTCAAAAATGTATTTACTATCTAACGATACGTACGTTCGTTTTGAAATAAACATTAGCTCCATGAATAAACCAGCCGCAAAAATAGTTGTTGAACGCCTGAGATTTGCACTTCAACCAACTTATCCCATTTACATTTTCCCCATAACACCAATATCCTAAGCTCTCGAAAACCAAGCCCAAAGTTGTAGCAGCTTTCACTGCCATTTAAATTTAGAACGCGCCCTCTTCAGAAATCGTCTGTAGAGTACCTCAATGGGGGATAATGAAGACAGTAGGCTCAGGGTTGCTTTCGTCATCTTGGGTTTTGTGAGGCCATCTTGAGCCCCCAAAAATGACAGATGTTGGAAACATTGCATAACATGGATTTATCGAGGGGGCTTTTTTTCTAACACAATCCTCCCATACTCTTCGCAGCTCACATAAATTTATTTTTTTCAATAACGATATCGAGTGCATTGATGTTGTATCGGACACTTCTGATGCATCCTTCTTCATGAAATGATATTTAGTATGAATCGATTCTCGAGTGTCCATACTTTTGAACCTGAAAGTGTCATTTTTTTTTCTTACCAGGATAGAAAAATTCAAGCTGTGGTACTTACTCCGGTATCAGTTTTGTTATATTGAACTCCATCGGGTCACTACTTGGCTGTTTGTATGCGAGGAAAATTAGACGATGTGGCTCTAGAGGCAAAAAACAGAAGAAAAAATGGATGTTATAAAAAGGAACCATCAGTCTTGATATTTTACTTATTTTTTCATTGCTTTCCAGAGGATCAAATCGCAGTGCAATCAACACTAAACAACTAATTGTCGTGTTTCTCGTGGGTTGCCGTTAGTTAGTCTATTACCTACTGCTTTTGTCCATTGCAACCACCAGCTTCCACCAAGAGATTCCCTCCATATCCCTTTTGTCATCTTTGTCTATAGTTTTGTCTATCAATTTCAATAATAGGCCCGCATGCTGAATCTGGTTAAATCCGTACAATTGTCTGCTGATTGTATATCACCAAAGTGCAAAACCACTCATCTCCGTTTTCGATGTTGCAGACTACCTGTCATACTTTATTTTCATTGAAAAACTATTCAACGTACTTTCTTGAAAACTTCCTAGATATTTCTTTTCTATTGAGAGGACATTATGGGTAAATTTCAAGCTAAATGTTGGGTGGTTTCCCAAGTAGAAGCGAAAATTTTGAACGATTGCAATGCAGATACGTGGTTTCGCACTTTGGGCATCGATGTGCTTCCCCGTAACTGACGAATTACCTTAGAGGACATAACTGTTTTGTCTTAAATGCACTTACCTTTATCCTCGTAGAATGCTCGGTAACCAACGTACTCGATAATTTCGTTTCCTTTGTCAATTTGGGTTCCAGGAATATTTACTACCAGCCAGTGGACGAACTCATAATAATGTTTTTTCCTCGCCTTCGTTGGGTGTTCTGGCTCTAAAGTCATAAAAGAAAAAATGATTAGACTTATAGCGGCTCTGGTGCTTGCACTAGAGCTGCTATTCCGGACGGTCCCAGCTGGGGAGTATCATTGGACCATGTTACATTGGAGAGACCGCGCGTTGGTTGATGGGAATCGGCGCCATTTTCTGCTGTTTAGGGGGGACTGATTTTATTTTAATTGATATCTTTTTCCTGTGAGCGAATGCTATGTTGTGTAGTGTATTTTTGGAATCATGGTGATACTGTCAATAATTCAAAACGGGTCTGTGCTTTAATCTCGCACTGGAAAAAGTGTACTTTACGTTTAAAATTTGAAAATTCAAATCTATAAGTTTTCGCGCTTTTTTCGAAGAATGCCGTGGTTGGAGCTTCCTAGTCATACTACTCGACATCAGCTGATAGCAAACAAAGGTTACCAAGGAAACCGTAAACGCGTAACAACTACCGTCGCCAGAGCCGCTTTCCGACGCGAATGCGTTGGAGCTTCCTGCTTGTTTTCGTTTCCTTGCAAATTGAACGCAAATGACGGCAAATTTAGGGGGCGGCAAATGTTGTAATTTTTTCAAATGTAGGTATCAAGTAAAAAATCTAATTCAGAAAAAAAATTAAAAATGAGGAAAGGCGAAAAAACTCTCATTCCCTGAGAGTTAAAGTATAGTAATTTCTAATTTGTTCGTCTTTCGGTGATACAAGAGACAGCGCCTTTCATTAGTCTAGTTGAGAGAGAAACCAAACACGCAATTTGGCCTGGAGCCAAAGCAGAAAGCAATGATGGCGAGAACTTGAGATGGAAAGGAGGAGCCCTATTGGCGCACCGGTCAGCATGAAACACATATTAGCGCCTACAAGACTCCATGAATACTTCACGCATTGCGTCAAACGTAGTGCGGTCACCAGCGGTTGGCGTGAAACTCATAGTGCCTACAAGACTGCATGAATACTTCACGCATTGCGTCAAAAACAGTGCGGTCACTTGGTCAGCAGCGGTCAGCGTAAAAGGCATAGCGCCTACAAGACTGTAGGGATACTTCACGCATTGCGCCAAACACAGTGCGGTTGGCGCGGTGGCGGAAATTAAGATCATTAGACCACATTCATGTTTATTCTTATTCATAATTTTTTCGTTCTTTTCTTATAAATGAAAGGCATCGTCCACACAGAGATAGGTCTACGGAACTTAATTTTCGAGCAAAGTTCCGTGAACTTTTGCTAGTGTTGACAGAGCTTTCACGATAAATGTGCCAAACGCGAGTAAACGCGTCTTGTGTACCCCTCCCCCTCCGGCACGTTCACCTGACGGTTTCTATGGATGTTTCAAAACGAATAAGATGGGGCGGCAAAATACAGGCGACCCATGAGCGGCAAGAAGGTAAATCCGGCCCTGTTTCCTTGTATTCATAAAGAATTTAGCAGTTGGTCAAAGTAAAGTGCCCTCGGTGAGAAATTGTAATATTGTAAAATTTCTACTCAAAATACAAGGGCCTCTCTCCTCTGATTTAATTAAAATCTGTTTCATCAAGTTTTGAAGAGGTATCCCATACGACGGTTCCCATACAACGTATCTTGATCTGATTTCAAAAACTCCAATCCTATTTCATTTTTTTAGTATAGAACAAATGAGCATTATTCTTTGGAGTTTTCACAAAATATTGTACTCACAGAGATAAAAACTAAATTTTTTTTTAAGGGATAACGTGAAATATTTTTTCTTTAAGCTGATGAAGCATAACAGGAGGTCAGGAGCTGCAACCTAGGAATTTCAATGTTAAAAGGTTGTTTGAAGTGTAAATAGAGAAGCCGTGCCTCTTTACATTAAGGCGAAAACCGAGTTATGGTCTCAGTAACAACTTTTCGTGAGCAACAATGCATTTTTTGACAAACTTTTCCACAAGAAGGCGCCCTTCTAAAAAATTTACCTCCATGATTGATGTTGATTTTCCAGCTAAGTTCACGCTCCAAAAGCAATAAGAAACCTATCTCCTCACCTCGTGCATAGGTATATTTTGATTTCATTATGATTTTGTTTAATTTAAAATCAATCTCAATCATATCTCATCGAGATTGCATCCTCTCATAGTGTCTCAATATTATCCTTTTACGTTTTCAATTATGAAATTTTTCAAATAGATAACCATCCGCGGGCAACGGGTCCATATTATATGGAGGCAAATTCATTAGAAGACCATTTTGTATCAAGTTGGGTCGAAAAATCAGCATTTGAGTTCTCAACAGTAAACATTCTGAAAACGGAAGCTGAGAGTAAAAAGTTAGTGACGTTTTCAATAAACACAGGCAATGCAGTAAAAAAAGATCACTTATAAATCTATGATAGCATCTTCCAAGACTCACCTATGAAAACGAGTGAGTAGAGGTCATTGTCCGCGACAGGCCAATCCAACATCGTTGGTTTGTTCTCAATTTGTTCAGGGGTTAATTTCTTATCAGCATCTAATACAACTGTGTAGTTAAACGTCACCTGAAAATAAGTTATCACTGTCAACGGAAATAAGGCGTGAATATGCACCTAGGAAGACAAATTATGAGAGAACGAAAAGTTTCGGAGTGAAAGGATGTTTTTGAGACTTATGGATGTGAGTATTCCCACAGAGAAAGAAAAACACGTTCAAACAAAGTAAAAGCTACTGACTTTAAGACATTAAGAGACTTTAACAAGATTTAATTGAGATCTACGACTTGAGACCTCATTCATTCGTGATTTACGCAAACGTATACTTTCCAGGTATCGATATCGTTAGTTTTAGCGATTAAATATCATCAACTTCAAGAAAGCAAATGTTGCCAGAAATAAAGGAATGATACGGCACGACTGCAAGCATTGGCGGATTCAGCAACTTGGCAACATTGTTTTTCTCCATTTAAACATATGGATATTTATCGATTCTTTGAGGGGCTAGGTGCCCCGACAAGAATCGATTATTTAACACAGGTTTAAATGGTGAGAATTCGGTGTTGCCAAATTGCTGGATCCGCCTCTGACAGCAAGGATGATATGGACGTATTTATGCTAAATGGAACTATGTGCGAGTGGAGAGATGGGGTGTGCTCGTTAGTTGAGGGCCATATACTGCCGTGCTAAGGAAAAACGCCGTATGAACCTTCAGGCGTTGCCAAATTTCCTTCGACTAATCGCTAATTTTCAGGAAAATTTGTGAGCATTTTTTACCCAATTTCTCAGATAAGTTTGTTTGTAATTTGATCTAAAGGGTCTGAAAATTTCAGGGAAAAATATTCATAAGTCTCCTCATTCATAAAAATTTTACTGGAGGAAATTTGGCAACTCTCAAACGTTCATACGGCGCTCTCCCTTAGCACGGCAGCATGATGAGAATGAAGCGCCAGTGACGTCAGCGTTGACGACCGGGCCCGACGACGACGGCAACTAACTCATGAGCCCTGTCCTCAACGCTCTTGTCCCATGTCCACGGCTCACGAGTTAGCGCTCAGTTCCTTTGATTTAATGTAAAATCCCACTTTTTCATTTTCTCAAAAGGAACTATATCCACTTTTACATTGATTCTTATCCAGGTCACCACGAGCACACCCCATCTTTCCACTTGCACATAGTTCCTTGCAGCATAAATACGTCTAACCGATGGGGTCACAATCTTGTCAAATGAAACCTATGGAAGTTATGGAGCGACAAAAATGCGTGTTTTTCGAATAGATAACTATTCGCGCTCCCCGGTATGTTTGTTGCCTATGCGACGAAATTGAAGGCGAGATTCAAGTGGACGATATCTACAGATAAAACCACGCATCGTTCATTGGTTCCGTCAAAGTATGTAGCGCGATCACTGTGTTTTCTAATAAGTAGTTTGCTATTATGCATGCTTTGGCTTTCCGGTAAATGCAATAATTCATTTTTACTCTCCTCTCTTCCCTTATCTTTCTACCTTCCTCTTATTTTAGCGCCCTTGTTGAGTTGGCGCCTGGTGTAGCCGCTCTTCAAGTGTCATCCTTAAGCCAGCTCTGTGTGTCTGTGTATAATAATGGAGAAGCTTATGTGGGAAAAGTCCTTTAAAAGGACCTATAAGTACACGCAGGAAAGGGGGAAAAATGAGAGGAAAAATTTACACACACATGTTTATTTTTCAGCCGCTCCCATAATTTTAACAGCTGAATACTTTTGCAGTTGATCCCTCTGTAAAGACTCATCTCTTAAATTTTGCTGAGAATTTGCATATTTTACGGAGCAAAAATACATTTTAAAATTAGAGATTTGCACGCTCTGCCAAGAACGGTTAAATGTTTTGACCTCCGTTTCCAGTAAAATTCCTGTGATCATGGAGAAAAACTTTTATGAGTCGCACGGCAGTGACCCGTCAGGTTTGATGACCAATAATTCAAGCAAATCGTGTGAAGAGAAACACATTATCTCCGCAGAATAAACATCTCATTAAAGAGTAAATGATGAAATCATCCGCTATTGTTTCTGGTTTGTTTAGAGGAACCGCGGGCAAATTAGCCATTAGAATTAAACGATGACTGTTTCAATCGGAGAATTTTCCAAACCTCTTACAGTCTTTGAGATAGTAGATGTTCATACTTATTGATTATAGATCCAAATTCCAGGAAGCAATGCCATTACGTTCCACGGAATACATTTGCATGTGCTGATCTCAGGGTGTTGAATTTATATGAGAAGTTCTTCGCTCTGTGAAATGTTTTCAATATAATGCGCATCATCTCTACTAATGTTTAAACATTCGAAATAAAAAAGTTTGTCTTTTTAAAAACTTGATTTGACCAGTTGTAAAATCATTACATTTTCACCGAATCATTTTCTTAACTTCGGAAACGTCCTTATAAAAGCATTTCTAAAATTCCTCTGAATTTTCAAACATTCGGTGTTTGTTTCATCAATCAGAGGTTATATTTTGAGATCAACCGTGACACGTTATTCATGGTTTTAATACATGTAAGTAATAATATTTAGACCATCCTGTTTTTTTTAAAATGTTCAAAATATGAGAATGATTTTTTTTATTAGCACGAGGCACCCGAAGCAGCCTTATAGAAAGTACCAAATGCGCCTGCTCGCGGTTGAACTATTCTTACTAAGCAGAGGAGCCGTTTCTCTTTCTCTCTATCTCTTTTTTTTAAAATATATATTTCTTCATAATTTGTACCCACTTTTTGTCAACTATTTCGCCATTTCCATGAATCTTTTGTCATTTTACATTGGTTCTGAGGGCCCGCTCTCGAGAGCCAAACACGTTATTTTATCCTGCCCTTTTTGAGACAGGCGGAAATAAAATAATTTTCGTTCCACCCCAAACATATTTCCAAAAAAGTAAATTTAGACTTACGACAAGTTGATCAACATTCTCCGACTCGTCAATAATTTTTGGGACGACATCGTGGTGCTTTAACATGGTTTTTACTTCCGCTCTTGTCATTGGTCGGTTGGAGTCACTACATATTGCTAGACTAATGAAACTCAAAACAGCAACAAGGAGCTTCTCCATTTTTTCTGACGAATGTCGCAACAATTTGTGATGAATTCTCTGTCAGGTACCATGCAAAATTCTCACTCACAGGCTTCTATTTACGGTAGCGCCAGAGCTGTTAGAAATAAAATATATTCTTTGATGGCACGAGTATTTCAACAAATCATAGAGTAGAGTACATAGAGTCGTAATGTAAGTGGGTGAGCTGGCGCCAGTTTTAAGCATTTTCCAGGTCCCGAATTCCGAGACTCCTGTGTGACGCCGGGTCACTTTTTCCATACATAATCGATTGTTCGCGATACACGGGTACCCGGCCATCCAATGTAAACAAAGAAGATAGGAATCACCACGTATTCTACACCGCCATTTTGGATCGAACATATATCGAAAAAGTGACCCGAACTCGGCGCACACCGGGCTCGGAACTCGTCGAGCAGAACATGGCGCCAGCTCTCCCATTTACATCACGACTCTATGTACTCTATGCAACAAATAGACAATAATAATACAACCTAACCTTACGTAGTGTCAATCTTTACAACCACCCTGTTTTAAAATCGTTAGGATATGTTTTCAGTATGCAGACGGGTAGTTTAAGAGGTTTGGGGGGCCTGGACCTCCATAATGTGAAATTTCTCTCAAAAAAGATCATTTTCATCTATCTCTAGGAATTTTCTACCTTCGAACCCACTCCGCCCCTCCGGCCTCCATGAAGAATGTCTCATCGAGAAACCCTTTTGACAGATTTGGCAAAAGGGCAAAACCACGTATCTCCATTGCGACGTTTCAAAATTCCCGTTTCTTTTTTACTTTTTCGAAGGAAACTAAGTTAACTTTATGGCTTGAAATTCATGGAATACTCTACTAATAAGGAAGATAAATCAAGGAACTTCAAAAGATTACATTGACTATTTTTCCAAAGAGAAAATCAAGTGTGATCGGTGGTCTGCAACGTCGTAAACGGACATCGATGGTGAAACTACCAAACCACGTATCTCGTTTGCGGTGTTTAAAAATCTACGCTCACATTTTATTTTTTTAAAAGAGAACAAATTGACATCATTCCTTGAAGTTTTTGCAGAATTTTCTTCACACAGAGAAGAAAAATCACCGCAGTTTTAAAGAATTGCCGTTGAGTAGTTTTCCGTTTAAAAAATAAAGTATAACAGGAAGTCTGCGACGTCGCAAACCGAGTTATGTGATTGCCGACTTACACCGTCGATATGTGTTTTCAAACTTTGGGCACATCGATGTATATGACTGATTTTTTACTCATTTGTAACCAGATCTGTGAAAAGAGGGATCTTCCNGGGGGGGGGGGGGGAAATCCTAACTTTTGCAAATACACAGAGAAAGAAAATCTAGAGCTTTCGGCACAAGTTTCATCATAAAATCTCAAGAATTGAAGGAGGTATTAGTTGTAAAGAGCCAAAACAAAAATGCTTCAGCCGAAGTAAACGTGGTTTAAGTGTTTGCAAAACGCTAAGAAAAATTTTCTTCGAGAATATAAGGTCCTTTTTCACAGATCTGATCACAAATAAAATTTAGATGTAGACCAAGAACTAGTTTCTAGATCATCCACTTTTGAACAACTGATAGGCACGAAAATCCAACGTTAATCATGAGAAAATAGCAATTTAAATCTAAAGTTATGGTAATTAGTTTTTACTTTTTGGAAATAAGACAATGTGAAAGTCCTATATTCTGGCGTCGTCACGTTAAATTACGCCGAAAACACACTGTATTTTTTCAGTGTAATCTGCCGTTCCAAGGAAAACGCCGTATGAACATTCGATATAATTACCAAACCTCCTCCAATGTATTGTTTATTTTTAAGGAGAGTCATGAAATTCTCTTGAAATTTTTAGATAATTTAGAACTAATTTCGAGTAAAATTCCCTGAAAAATTAGAGGGAAAATATTCAGATTTCCCTTTAAATTCGTATTTTAACAAAAGAACTTTGGCAACGTCCGAAGGCACATATCGACGGTGTAAGTCGGCAATCGCATAACTCGTTTACGGTGTCTGAAAATCTCCGCCTTTATGTTCTCTTTGTAAAGGAGAACAAATTGACGTAACTCCTTGAAGTTTTTACAGAATTTTCTTCGCAAAGAGAAGGAAAATCAAGGCAGCTTTAAAGAATTGCCATCGAGTAGTTTTCCGTTTAAAAAATAAAGCATGACGGGAAGTCTGCGCCGTTGCAAACCGAGTTATGTGATTGCCGACTTACACCGTCGATATGGCGTTCTTTCAATTAGCATGGCAGTAATTTACTCCAATTCCCCTGAAAAAGTACTCATATCGTCTAGTCTTATTTCTTGAAATCAAGTTATGCAGAGGATATTTTATGAGATATTTAAATTTTCTATTAATACAATAAATGCAGGGATAACTAAAAAGGATTTATGCACTTAAAAAGTCAAGAGACTTATTACGAGAAATAGGATAAAACTCGTTAAAAATTAAAGGTTTTCTGATATCGGAGGAGTATGTTGTTTGAAAGCTCCATAATATCCAAAATAAGCTCCACAATGTTATTTACAGGCTCATTCCAAAACTATTCCCGCATTGTTAGGAAATGATGCAGATTTTAAAAGTTTTGTATACGATAAAAAGCTTGGAAAGTTACAGAAAACAGGAGATGAGTTTCCAGACCCGGAATATAGTAGTCCTCGCGCAACAGGTCTGAGGTTTTCACCATGGAAACTTCCTCTGCCCACAAACTTTTGAGTTATAGGATTGAACTTATTCCACCCGATAGCGTGAAATGTGCCTTATGAAAGGCAACTCAGGAAGAAGTTTTTTTGCATATTACCGTTTGTTTCATGAATGACCTGAATAACCATGAATGTTGTCCTTGGAGGACTGGAGATGCCTAAGAACGGTGGTTACAAATCGATGACTACTAATGGATCACTACACAAGGTACGAATTAGAGCATTCTGATACGTGTTCCGTAATAATAATGCCACGTAAAGCACGATTTTTCCACCAAAAATTACTGAAATCAACTCCTAACTAAGATACATATTAACGTTTTTATTTCACATTGGTAACGGGAATTTTGAATTGCCCGGTCACAAGAAACGCAATTCTCTACGTGAGTCAAATCGCGCCTTACAACAGTTTTGGCAGGCCCCTCAATCGAGCATTGTTCCTTTCTCACCCTTTATCGTTCAAAGTGTAAAAAAATTGTTATAGCTGAGCCGAAGCGTCAAGATTGAGGTTGCCAGATATCCTTGTCGCAGAGATTGTCATGGTAAAGTTTAGTGTGGGATTTGATTCACGTAGATTATTGTCTTTTTATGAGCGGGAGGTTTGACTTCACACGTCAAGGAACATTAATTTATCTTAGTTAGGAGTTGACGTCAGTAGTTTTCGTTGCGCAAATCGTGTTCTATGTGAAATTTTGGTGAGGTAACATGTATCAGAACGCTTAACTTCGTATCTTGTCTAGTGGTCCATTGGAGGCAGTTCAGGTGTGGCTCTCTTGCATTTTGGAGAAATGGCTGAACGATTATCTAAAGTTTCTAGGTTTTAGAATAATTCTTCAAGATTTCCGGGCATCATATCACGCTAAAATGTGCCAGGCACTTGCACAGTAAAATTGACCTCGAATCATTTTGATCCATCTTTAAGAGTACAACCCGAGCGAATGTCGCAAATCGATTTGCCACTATATATTTATTGTATACGTATATTTTTATTTATTGTGTATACTATATACTATATACTATATATTTTACACGCCTAGTCCCCGACGTAAATAGCCTAGATGCTGATCGTCGTTAAATAAAATTAACTAACTAACTATATACTTATATTTACTCGGAACGTACTTGTCAAAATGATTCGGGTCTAATTTTGTGTATAAATACCTGACGAGCCACATGTCATTGTGATATACGGAAATTCCTAGGAAAATATCAATAGGTCAGTTACACTGGTAACAGACTCGTGTTTTGATGCTTGGTTCTTGCAGATTAGCTAAACATAAGAAGATCTGTCCAAACAGCAACTTTTTACGTTCAATATTAACCGAGATATCACGCCTTGAAAAACTCAATTCATAACATCATCCACCGCGGTAGCACACATCATGTCATGCACTACTGCGGTGGATGACGTCAAAAACCGGACTTTTCAAAGGACGATATCTCGGTTAATATTGAACGTAGAAAGTTGCTGTTTCGAATTATTGAGTTGTTTATTATTTTTAGCTGCAAGAATCAGGCATCAAAACACGATTCTGTAACCAGCGCAACTGGCCCATTAATTGGTCGATTATAGAACCGGTAACGAAAGCACTGAAGATTCATCTTCAACAAAAGAAGTCTAGCAGCGTTGCAATTTTTCTACAAATAAGGGACTTCAAGACTGCGGTTATATATCGACTAGCGGAAAGCCCGTGACTTAAGTCACGGGTCTAGATGCTTCACAAAAAATTATTAATTTAATAACGGGGAGCATTAAGCCGATATTGTTTCGGGGATGATGTACCACTATTCGACCACATGGGCGCTTGTTTTGCCTACACTGAAATTGAAGGCGAAATGAAATGACGTTAATTTAATCCTCTCTAGTTTGATGAAATGCTATTTTTTAAAAACGTTCTTGGAAAACGAATTAGGATGAACTTAGATTAGACGGGATAAATGCAGTTTTATGCTTATCAATCCTTTTTCATCTGGAAAATGACGGAAATTTGGTATTACGGACGTTTACGGTGGGATGCGAATGAAACTCTGGGTCCTGTTGGTTTTTGGTTCGACAAAAAATGACTCCTCCGCATTGCATTTCTGAAATGTCAAATACTTTCAAAATGGCAGCATGCGAATCCACCCGTAAACGTCCGTAATACCAAGTTTCCACCATTTTCCTCGTCATTTTGAAGTTATTCAGAATTTCAAAAATCCAATTACAGATTCGTCTTTCTCATGTCGAAATGCCTCCTAATACCAAGTTTCATGCAAATTCACCAATAAGCAGCCTAATAAATTCTCTTGCCGCTCAAGGTTGCCATATTGACCCCCGCCATTTTGAAAAGGACAACATTTTTTCCGGAAAAATAATGCCAGAATCGTTTTTCTTGTTCCAAAAAACCACTGAAAAAC